ATATCTGTTTATCATCATATCATATAGTTTATTTCAAGTTTGCATCCAGAAAACCAAAAGAAAAATCATTCTAGTTTAATTTATTTCATTTCGGTTCAATTGATATATTTTCTCGGTTAGTTTTAATTAGTTTGCATTTATTTACCTATTTTTGGTTTGATCAGAACTTCCCTATCCTTCACTTTCTCTGAGATTGATTTCAGGAAGACATGGAAGAGGAAGCACACGGCCTAACCCTAATCGCCACACTGAGACAACAGTCCACAGCTTTGAAAAAGCTCCAAACAGATTGCTCACTTGGTGAAAAGAAATCAGGCACAAGGCCAACGCCCCCAGCATGAAGAAAGAAAATTTGGAGATGCACCAGAGGCTGTTTATGTCGAGCCCAAGCCACCAGATCCTTCAAGGATCCGCCAGAAACATACTTCTAAAACCCACAGCCATCATTGTGATAATTCTCGGTTTGATTCTAGTTTTGTTGCTGATAAAGTTAAACTCTTTACATTTTCAGGAAAAAGAGGATATCTCAGATGGGAGAGGAACCTTGATGAATGGTTTCACTTCAACAACATCCTGAAGAAAGAGAGGCTATCTTATACTATTGATCAACTTAGAGGATAGCCTTTAAATGGTGGGTACAAGAAGAAGAGGATAGATGGTTTTACAAGGAGCCAACTATCAAAACGTGGAGAGCCCTTAAAGAAGTCATGAGAGCTGAGTTTGCACCAGGTTTTACAAGTTCTGAAATCCAAGAACTTTATCCAAGGAGGTATCCAACTCATGGTTCTAAAGAGGCAAAGAGAGATGTACCACAAGAAGGCCATAGAAGCTTGATCCATCAATACCAGATCCGGCCAAACAAGAGGGCCACGGTTTTTCATGATCATTACCAGCCTTATAAGGTCCCAAAGTCCATGGATAAGAAGAAAGATGTTAGCCAAAACACCTTGATCAGATCCAAAAAAAACCAGAACAAGGTATTGTCCAAGTAAAGGGTATGGTAAGTCCTATACTTGATCATTTGGTTTATAAATCATCTCCCACTGGTATAAATCACTTGTCTTTGTCCAACAGTGTTAAGACAGGTCCTCAGCTCCAGAAGGAAACGTTCCCAACATCCTTGTTGGAATCCAAAGTTGTCCATGAATTAATTCCAAGGAATAATGAGATTCCATACTCAAAGAAAGAAGAGGCATCAAGCCAAGGTAACTCTTTTGATTCTAAAATTCTGAAAGATCAGACATGTTAGATGTCATAAAAGAGGACACTTTTCTGTAGCTTGCCCCACTAAGAACTCATTGATAGAAACATCAGTAGGAGAGAAAACAAATTTATCTAGGAAAAGTGATAGTTTTATTCAATCTGATTTATTTGTTCAAAATTCTTGTATGATGCACTTGTCTTTGTCAAGAGGTGTTGTAACAGGAATTAAGGAGCAAGAATTCACTGGAGAAGAACCACCAGACATCACCTATGTGATGAACCAGAAGCTGGTTCAAGACACATTGCAGTCCATGTTGCTTAAAGAAGCAAAACCATTAATTAATGTATCAAATCAAGGTAAGTGTTTAACACCACCATTATATACTGGTTCTGAAGTGTTTGTTCTTGACATAGAGATCCAGAATGAAAGCCCTATGCTCACTAAAGTGCCAAGGGCCGAGCCTAACCATGAGCTCAGTCATGAACCACCTAATAAGTGGAAGCCCAAAACTGAACAATGTGTTGTTCAAATACCAAGGTTTAAAGTTTGTTTCACATTAGATCAAAATTTTATTATTTATTCTATACCAAGATTAATGCACTTTTCTTGTCCAAGAGAATGTGAAATATTTTCAGGAACCATGGTGGAGTACACTGCCAAAAAGAATGAGGCACCAGCCATGATGTTGATAGATGTTGAGCAGAAACCAGTCCAAAGAGAGACTGAACCAACACAATTAAAAGCCAGCCTTAGCAAGGGAAGTGTTTCTAATTTAAAAATGCCCTTATTACTTGATTATCCAGATGTAATGCACTTGTCTTTGCCAGAAATTTTTGATCCATAAATAAGTCAAGAAGATGGTCATACCAGTCAAGGTAAGAGTTTGCAAAAAAGGCAGCCATCTAACCAAACTTGTCCAAAGAAGAAAATCATTCTTCAACTAGTGGAAGCTATCAAAGTAAGTCTGGAACTTTCAAATTATATTTATCCGTGTCCAAACACAGATATAATGCACTTGCTTTTCCAGAATGTTGAGAATTTTTCAGGTTGCAAAGGTGTAAACTTCAGTGACATCCCACAAGATGATCTTTTGTTGCTAAGAATATCAACTCCAAAAAGGACCAGAAACGTGGCCACCAAAACTTTGAAGGACCATCCACCTCAGAGGAGATTCAATGGCCATATCCATAGCAGAGGCGTGATCCTTTCACACCTTTTCAAAGAAGAGCCACCAGATACACCATCCATCACCAAACCAAAATTGTATCACCAAGGTAAGGTTCTAAACTCCCAAAAGAGAATGAAACCTGACTTGCTTTATTGTGGTGTATCAGGTTATTCAGTTTTGAGGTAAAAAACTTTACAAGGGGGAGGGAATTATGCGGCCATCAAACCAGTAGCTGAACCGGAAGTTTCTCAAACCGTCCAAACCATCCACCTAGGCGATACCAGCGACATAGGTCCAGTTCAAGGCGTATATCTCGACAACCAAAATGATTTTTGGCATGAAACAATTTTTACTGGATTTTACACTCAAGAAGGAGTCAAGCCCAATTGGAATCGGGCCAAAATACTCACGGAGCAAAACGTTATGAATTTTACAAATTGGAGGTTTCCATACTCATCCGTTTGCGAGTATCAGTATTTAGAAGAGGAGTTCAGCCCAACCAAGAAGCAGATCGTGCCAAGGCCAATTATAGAGTTCAAGCGGGATCTTTTGTGGATCCAGAAGCCCAAAATCAAGAGAAAAGGACGAGCCAAACCAAAGTTATAACTAGTTTCCCAACACTGGTTATTAGGAGCCGATTATGGAAAGATTGCTTAATCCTTTGGTCCAACCCATTTCAAACCAAGATCAAGCAACCAGGATACAATCCAGACGAACCAAGACTTCCAGAAGACCAATCCAGCCAACCAGGAGTGCCCCCATTCACCTTACCATACACCAGCAAGCATGGGAACAAGAATATCTGCATTTACAGCCACTTGCCTTTTCGGATTTATTCTTTCTTGCAAGAATAAATGACCAACGGCTCTTTCCCTTTGAAGCAGAAGAAGTCAAGATCAAAGTGAGTATATTCAGTCATCAGAGACTCCTATTTCGTGGATACAAAACCAAGATATCAAGGTATAAGATCAGATATTCTCAAGGTTACAAATCTGCTCCAAAAGCTAGTTTATTGGAGACAAGACCCATTGTATTTAATTTTCAGTATTTTCCTTCCACCTTAGAGTATCAGAATGTTGGGAATTGTCCCTGGTCGTGCACTATATAAGCAGACCTCATATCTCATTGTAAACCACCTTTGATCATTTGAAAGTTATAAAAACAGTTTTTTTTTACTTAAACAAAGTTGTGAATTCTTGGTTGTTCTTTCTCTAGTTCTTTGTGTGAGATTCACTAAGTCCTAAAGAAGCCATTTCCAGAGAAGCTTGTGAGATTCAAGACCATCTGTTCGTCCACTGATTGAGAGAGTCAACCCCTATCCAGCAATCCCCATCTTTCTATCCCTTTGTTTACTGTTTTTCTTACTGGTTTTGTTTTGTTCTTCATTTGTTTCTCATAAATCTAAAAACCATAAAAATATTGTGTTTTCTGTTGTTCATCATTTTCTTATTGTTTATCTTCTGTTTGTTTTATTAAAATCCAGAAAACTCATAAAAAATTTCACTCTTTTTGTTTCAGGTACAATAGCCTTCACCCCACCCTCACAGCCCCCATCACTAGCCATCTATGTTCCTGTTCTTGTTCAGATACAAACCTCAGCTCCTCCATCAGTACAACCTGAATCCCAGCATGTATCATTTTTGGTATCAGAGCGGGGGTTAAGACCCCTTAGTGTTATCCTAAGGGGTCAGCAATTCAATGTTTTCAAAAGTTTTAAGTTCAATGTTTTCAAAAGTTTAATCGGTCCTGTTTGGAAGAGAATTATTATGATTGAGGAAGTTTTAGAGTATTTTAAAGATGTGAACTGTTTCAAAACCACCTAACGTGCCTATGTTTCTACTACGGTTCTGATCGGATCTTTACTGCAGGATGTTTCCGCTGGATCATTACGAATGGAGGAGGTCGCGCATGCACTACGAACCGAGGAATACTCGGGATTACGCCCGCAGGTGCCATCCGGATGCAGGGGTGCTGCCCATGTCCCGGAACCAGAGGAGCAGTACAGGGAATTTCCGTTTAGGTACCCCCATGAGCAGACTTTGAAACGCAAGGTGTTGATGCCCCATTTCCAGAGGATGGCTATGGAGAGACGCATACGCCAAGGTCAAGCAACGTTCCAGATTTTGCCAGAGGGGGAGCTCCCAAGGAAACATGGCCGCTCGAGCAGGCCGCTGAGTGCAGTTGGAGAGCCTCCGAAAGTGTTTACCGGGAAGTTTCATTGCAAGACGTTGTCCCAGTATACCCAGGGAGACAGATCAGTGGTGGAATACACTGAATATTTCATCAACCAAGCCGAGCTGTGTAAACCAAAGACGGCAGAAATGTGGTGCGAATGGTACAGAAACGGGCTTCGAATGAACATCAAAAACCAGCTGAACGGGATCCTGGAACCCCTGGAGTTCGCCCTAGTGAAACAGATGGCCGGCTTCGCAATCGAAGGAGAGGAAAAGATCGCAGCTGAGTTAGCCGCCATTGAGAGGACCGAAGAGGAGGGCGCTAGGAAGGACTTGGAAATGGGCGATGATGACCTGGGGGCTTCAGGCGGAGAACCCCCCCAAGAAGAAACGGGGGAGACCGGGGAAACCTACCCCGGTATCTGATGACTGTGACTGCGATGTGTTGGTGCAGATGGTGCAAAAACCACGCAAGGTGAAGGATTACTTGGATGAGTTCTTGGAGACGGCAAAGAAGTGTCAACCGAAGCTTGCAGAAGAGTGGTGTCGGCTATTCAAGGTGGGACTCCGCGGTGACATTAGGGATGAACTCGCTGGTGTTCTGGAGCCCCTGGAGTTTTCATTAGTGAAGAGGGTAGTTGGTCAGGCACTAGATGCAGAGGAAGTATGGGCAAGGAAGTACGCAAGAGACTAATGTGACTGCTCCACCGAAGACGACGAGGACCCGAAGCCGGCGACGGGAGGTGGCAGTGTGGATGGTTTGGAACCCGAGGCCGACTGTGTTTCTTCCCCTCACTGTGGTTGGTTGAGCTCCTAGGATCATTTTGTAGGAGTAGGACACACATTTATTTTTCTATTTAAGTTATTGCTGGTGTTGGTGCTTTTTTTTTTTTTTTACTATATAGGCATTCTGTGATTGTACAGGTGCCTGGAGTTTTCCTAAACTATTGTAGTCCTACTCCATTTTAATTAATTATTTATTTATTGGATTCATTCGTTGAGTTTTAAAAGATCATGAGCAAAGTACTATGGACCGGGGTGTCATTCGTGAGTGATGCGGGACCAACAGAAAACTTGAGTGCGATTGAGTAATTGGAGTCTAGACCAAGCATACATATTAAGACCAAGTATTACAACTCGGAATTTCTAGTATCAGATCTAGATGGAGATGTTTCGAGAGATTATAGGCACCTGGTTGGGTGAGAAGCAACTAAGAGAGAGCTGAGATAACAGATCGCCGCAGTGGGCTAGCCGACCTAGGTAGGACGACGGGTGATAAGCGAGGCGATAGGAGGGCCTTCTCAGATTAAGGAATACACGTATTACTAGTAAACCATGATGGTGGATACAACAAATATATGTACCACAATGGAAGGGGTAAATATGGATGTACCAATACGAGGTTGGAAGGAAGGATCAGGTAGAGTCATGGGGCTCGATCGAAAGTGGGGGAGATCTGGAGTTCAAGTTGAAAAGAGATCCAAGGACTACGGCACAAGTAGAATATCCTGAGATGGGCTAGGGGACCCCAAGGCCTCCGCCGGATTGTGCTAAGAGATACCTTTGGATGGTGGAACCCACCGATGTGGGGTGCCCCGGACCGAACTACATATGGGCATATGGGGAGCAAATTTAATCAGAGTAGCGCAGCGGAAACATAGTGGCAAGCCGGCAGCACACCACAATGGATTTTTTTATTTCACGACGACATCACATGCGAATCGAGTAAAAGATCATAGAAAATCCGTATATGATAATCCGGAACCAGCAGCGGGAGTGCGTCTTACCGTAGCTATAAACCGGGTATGGGTAAAGTTGGTGAACCACAAGAAATGTCGACTTTAGAAAGAGGGGATGAGATACAACGGATGAGGGACCCCGTATGGTTAGTAAGCTGGAAAGGTTCAGATCGACAGTAAGCAAGTGATGTGTAATGGCCACTTTGTTGAGATGTTGTGGTTGGAGTTCCGACGCGCAGAATTCGGGGACGAATTCTATTAAGTGGGGAAGATTGTAACAACCCATTACCGGGACCAATTTTTTTCTTAGAATACTATGGGTCTCTCTACGGCCCACTTGCCCATAAACCCTAGGGTTTCCTGCAACTCACTATAAAAAGACTGCAGCCTCCTCCTTCTCTCTTATTTTGCAAACTGGAAGCAAAGCTCTGCAGAAAAGTCCCAGAGACCGAAAGCCCTAGCCGTCAGCCTCTCTCTCCTCTCTTCCCCGCGCGCCGCCTCTCTCTCTCTCTCTCTCTTCTCTGTCTTCCTCTCTCTCTCTCTCCTCGCCGTGAGCCGGTGGTGGTGGTGGTGTTGTGTGTGTGTGGAAGTTCTCAGATCTCATCTCTTTCCCCTCTTGTTTCCAGATCCAGATCTCAGATCTTTTGCTAAGGTGAGGTGATTCGAAAACCCAGATCTGTTTCTCATAATCTCTATTCTGGTTGATGCGGGAATTAGGGTTTGGTTAGTCCTTGTTTGAAAGTTAAGTTGATAGATCATAATGGAAGTTAAGTTGTTAGATGAATGAATCATGATGCATAAGAACCTTCACATTGTTTAAATGAGACTTAATGAACTGCCTTGTGTTGATGTGGATAATGATTGGTGATGAATGATTGTGTGAGTGATTTGTGACCCATTCGATGATGAGGAATGACAGCTAGGTTGTTAGAAAGAAGTGCATGCTTAAGGTGATAGATCTGTAATTGATAACAGTTGATATAATGATGAATGTGAAGTGATCTCCTATAGTTTCTAAAGTGAAAGATAGATGAATATGAATGAGATGTCTTTTGGTTTTGGTGTATAAGAATATGAATGCTATGTGAATTGTGTGAGACACCGATAATGGGTGGTGTTTAGAGTCGAGTATAGGAATGTGGACAAGAATAAGTTAAAGTGAAATGAGAATGAGAATGACGTTATCATGTTATTAAAATTTAGGGAAAAGTGACACCTACGTTATTAACATTATCATTTGTTATTAAAATGACATTATCATGACCTGATGAGATAATTTTTGATATATCATGACATTCTCACAAAGCCTGATAACCAACACACCTTTGACTTCAGCCTCATCCGTCATAATATTTTCTCTCTTCTGGCACAGATAGAAATATGGAGTTTAGATCACGCCTTTCAAGAACGCAATGAAGCGGCTGCGGCAATTGCTCTAAGTGTCACTCGTGATCAGCGCCACCAATCATACATAGCCAGAAATGCTCCGGTGTGGTTTTATCATCTTCTCGCTTTGGAGGCACAAGAGTACGGGATCAGTTAGATGAGCTTCCATTCTCTTTGCTTTCGGGGTCTACTGAATTTTCATTTTATTGTTCCTTATGTATTCTATATTCCCAATGTTGTTCGACCTTTGATTTAAGTGTTATAAAAAAAAAGATAATGTTTCATCATACTTTCTCAAACTGTATGGTTGTTAAACCATACCTTGTAAGTTTCTTTGTTTTTAATTTGAAAGCTGTGAAAAGAATATCCAAAGATCATGTGAGAAAAAAAAAAAGGAAAATGTAATAAAAACTGTAAAAGGTATAGAAGATCACTAAACTCCAGTTTGGTGCTTATGAGTTATGATTATTAAATTTGAATTGCTTTGTGGATATTTCACTACTCAGTAGGATTTCTTATAAATAGTATATTTATCACAAATTGTAATACAGAATATCATATTTTTATTTTTTGTTTATACATCAAAATAAGATATTTTTTTTATTCAAACATAATTTGGCTGTTTCCAAATAAAAAAAGATAGATAGGGTGTTTTCAAAATCCTTACTTAAGATATCTTTTAAAAATTATGTAAATCCATTATATATGTACATACTAAGTGTTTTGTCCGCACTTGCGGACATAATTCTCTTATAAATATTTATTAGTTGATGTTTCATTAATTTAAAAATCAGCATAATAAGTTATTATTTATGTTTTCAAAAATTAAAAATCAAACATCAAATAATTATTAATGAAAAAAACTCAAACTTCAGAAATATTTAAAAGAATATATTTCTATAGTTATTTTTCTTGATTTATATTTAATTATTATATTTATACAAAAATTTTACTTAATTATATTTAATTTTAATTTTTATATCTTAATTTTAATTTTATAATAGAAAACATATTTTAAAGATACCAATATAATGGATAAGTTATTTATTTTTTAAAAATGTAATATGATAATTTTTAATTATATAAGATTATAAAAAAATTATGACATATAATTAAAATTACCTAAAATCATGGAGAACTTAATGAATCAGAAAATTCACTTCTTAATAATTTTTCTTGAGCGATAATTTATATTTAATTAATAATAGATAATTTTTCTATTTTAATTTTAAATTATATAATATAAAGTATCTTTTCAAGATAACAATATAATACATAAGAATAGCTACAACTTTTATATCTTAATTTTAAATTTATAATACAAAATATATTTTCAAGACAACAACTTAATACATAAGAAATATCTTATTTTTTAACAATCTGATGCTATTAATATAAATTTTTTTTAAATATATAATAAATTATATATAAAATTATAGAAATTATGATAAATTATCAAAATTACTTAAAATCACGGAAAATATGATAAATCAGCAAACATCAAATTCACTTCTTAAATAATCGTATAGATTTTTTACATGTTAATTTTAAATTTTATAATAGAATATATATTTTCAAGATAATAATACATAAGAATTAACTTATTTTCTAAAATATAAATTCAAGTATTAATAATATAATTTTTATATCTTAATTTTAAGTTTTATAATAGAAAAATATATTTTCAGCATAACAACATAATACATAAGAATAATCTTTTTAAGTTTTATATATAAAAATAGATTTCTAGATAATAAGATAATTCTTAAAATATATTTCTAGATCACATCATAATTCACAAGAATTATCTTATTTTTTTAAAATATGATATATTCATATAAATTTTTTTATTTATAAATAAATTATATATAATATTATAAATATGATAAATAAAAAAATTACCTAAGCTTATGGAGTATATGACAACTAAGCAAATTTACTTCTTAATACATAAGAATTAACTTATTTTCTAAAATATAAATTTTTATTAATAATATAATTTTATATCTTAATTTTAAGTTTTATAATAGAAAAATATATTTTCAACATAACAACATAATACATAAGAATTATCTTTTTAAGTTTTATATATAAAAATATATTTCTAGATAATAAGATAATTCTTAAAATATATTTCTAGATAACAACATAATTCACAAGAATTATCTTATTTATAAAGTTTTATTTATTCCAAGTGGGAAAAGGAAAAACGATTCCTTTATATATAGTGTTGATGATAAGAAAGAAAGCAAAGGGATATTGATTCAAAGAGAATCAAGTTTTGTAAGACGATGTCCAACACGGCCGAGGAGGCACCGTCATGGTCTTTTTGGTCACTGCCAAACGATATCATCTTAGACGTTTTAGCACGTGTTCCGAGACGGTATCAACCAATTCTCTCTTGCGTGTCGAAGAAGTTACAATCTCTAGTACGTTCCTCTGAGCTTCAGGTAACACGATCTCTCCGGGGAAAAGAGGATCGCTTCTACGTCTGCCTTGGAAATTATGAGTCGTGTCATTGGTTCACTTTCACTGAGAGTCATCATCGTTTGGCCTCGATCTCGATCCCTTATCCGCGCGAGCGTTACTCTACAACTACCATTATGGTTGGTACTGATATCTACTTTGTGGGCGGCTGGAGAAACTTGTGGATCCTGGACACTCGGTCTGGAGAGTTGCGTCAGGGTCCAAAGTCGCCTGTGTTGAGAGATAGAGCAGCCGTGGGACTAGTTAACGACAAGATTTACATTTTTGGAGGATTTTGTCGGAAAAAATACTACGAAGATATCCAAGCGCAAGCGTTTGACCTAAACACGCAAACTTGGCAATTCGCGCCAAACCCTAGCGTGCGAGTGGATAGTCTATGTAAGCCTGTGGTAACCCCGGCACTAGGCAGAAAAATATATGTGGGTGGTCACGACGTCATAGTCTATGACACTAGAGATGGTACATGTGACAAAATTATAAGAGCTGATGTTCAGAACTTCAGCACTCAAAATATCTGTGTGGTAGACAACGTGCTATACGCGCATGTCCATAATGTTGGGTTAATGTGGTATGAATCTAAGGCTAAAGAATGGAGCGTGGTTCATGGTTTGAAGTTTAAGGGTTTTTTCTCTAGTATCAAAATAGCTGAATACAATGGAAAGTTGGCGTATTTGTGGCATAATTTGAAGAATAGAGAGATTTGGTGTTCAGTGATCGCCTTGTATGGGAGTCGTAATGTAGCCATTCGAGGGCGTATCGAGTGGTCTGACCGTCTACTTTCCGACGTTCCTTCTAACTACGTCATTAAACATTTTATGGTTTGTACGGATGATTATAAGTGATCCCTTGTCTCTTCTCTTAGAGCATCCGCAATCGTGTTACTTTAATGAGTTTTTAAGTTTTGATTTTTTAATTATTGTTTTTTTCAGATATAAAAAATGTAAATACTAAACAATCGCGGACCAACACGTGTCCTGAAAGCCCGTAAATAGTGCAAACACTCGCTAAGTTATACATGAGCAATTGAGCATCAATATTGGCACTGATGTAATTGTCCTTGTTAGACTTGACAATTGGATATCAGTACTTTTAAAGACGTTTCTGTTGATTTCAACCTCATAGGATCATGACCTCCTGAATTGCAGCACCAATGTCGCAGTGGAGAATATCGATTCCAGCTTCCTGAACCAGCCAAAGAAACCCACACAGGTTAAGAGTAATAACTGTGAGATTGGTTCCTAACAAGTCAAAGCCTACATGAAATCACTTTTCACAGTACTGAGCTTATTTAGGCCATAAATGAGATCACTTTTCACACTACAAAATTGTTTCATCCTACTAGTAGTTGTACACTCATAAAGCAGAAGATATTCGTAAAAGGAAAAATCATCACCTTGATACGGGTATAAGTAGCTACACGGGAGGCTGCTAAGAGAAGATAATACATAGGATTGAAAGCAACTGTAAATGCAGAGTCAATAATATATCCTGCAAAAAAAAAAAAAAAAGAAGAGATGTTAGTTTCTATCTGAACTTTGTAAATATCATTAATATTTGCCGTCAATACCATCAATATGTGTTCCAAAATCCAGCTTCATAACATCTTCGTACTGAAGCACAGTCTTGTCTCCAGAGTTTTGTGTCCAATGAGCAGCAACCCTTGAAGATTAAAAAAAAAACATTAGAGAAACATGACTACAATAGAAGAGTAAACTGTTGTGTAGGAACAGATCAGTTGAAGGCATCATGTTATAACCAACCGATTCAGTGAGCATCTTGTAGGAATATATATTATATGTGACTTGTCTATGTGATATATATATATATATATATCAGGAACAAGGTCTGGACATGATCTCCGAAAATTTAGATGCTTTGTATGTAAACATCTTCAAATGTCTCATTTTTTCCTTTTCTGGACTTCTGTAGCATCTCTAAACGAATCCAATAGGTCCGAGAGGGAAGGTTTCAAATACTTGATCAATACTTACATCAAAAATACCATACTTTGGCTCTTTTTCAAGACACCAGGACAGGACATCCTGAGAATTTCGAGACTCATGGGATTGAAGTCACTACTTGGTTGTGGTTCCATTAACTACAGAGCTTTCTATGTCTATGTTTATGATTGTTGCTCTTTGCTTTTTTTTTTCTCATATGAAGGTCTTCTTGGACAAGGAATCGCCAATGCTGTTGGTTGAGCTCTTGCTGAGACACATTTAGCTGCTAGGTTTAGCAAACCTGACGCTTAGGTCGTCGAGCACTACACGTAATATATTTGGTATATATTCTTTAAACCGTTCTTGGTTTTGTTTCAGGTTCTGATTGTTTTAGATTGATTTTTGTAGATATGTGATTCTTGGAGATGGTTTTCAGATCAGATGGAGGGTATTTCAAATGAAGCTGCCTCTCTAGCTGGTCACTGGGGACTTGGAAACCTTATTGGATTCTATGATGACAATCACATTCTCCATTGATGGAGACACTGAGATTGCCTACTTTACTGAGAATGTGGACCAGCGTTTTGATGCTCTTGGGTGGCATTAAGGAATCTAAAGCTGTTACAAACAAGCCCTACTTTGATTAAGGTAGATATCAGACACGGTTGGTTCTAAAGACCTTTGGTATTGATTTAAACATCTTGTTTGTGTTCCAATGACTCTGCAGGTTACTACTACAATTGGTTATGGATCTCCCAACTCATACAGTGTCCCATGGAGCTGCACTTGGTGAGAAGGAAGTTGAAGCTACCAGAAACAACCTTGGATGGCCTTATGAGCCATTCCAAGTAACTGAGGAAGTTAAAAAGGTAAGTAAACCTAAACCAAACGTCATGTGTTTACTTTTCTGCTTTGATGAGATGACTCCCCAGCTGCTTTTCACTTTTTGCAGGCCACTGGAGCCGTCATACACCTGAAGGCAGTGCCCTTGAATCTAACTGGATCATACAACGTTTGCAGAGTTGAAATCTATCATCACTGGTGAATTACCTGATGGCTGGGAGAAGGAACTACCAGTAAGTAAAACTAGATATGTGTGGTTACAGCATCTTTCTTTCTAGACATACACACCAGAGTCTCCAGGAGATGCTACCAGAAACCTGTCACAGCAATGTCTTAACGCCGTTTCTAAAGTTGTTCCCGGCTTCCTTGGTGGAAGTGCTGACCTTGCATCCTCCAACATGACATTGCTGAAAGCCTTTGGGGACTTCCAAAAAGCCACACCTGAAGAAACAAACCATAGGTTTGGTGTCAGGAAACACAGAATGGGAGCCATCTGCAGCGGTATTGCCCTTCACAGCCCCGGTCTTATCCCTTACTGTGCAACATTCTTTGTATTAACTGACTACATGAGAGGTGCAATGAGAATCTCAGCTTTGTCCGAAGCTGGAGTTATCTACGTTATGACACATGACTCCATTGGTCTTGGAGAAGATGGACCAACTCATCAGCCCATTGAGCACATAGCTAGTTTCCGTGCAATGCCAAACACTGCCAGAAAAAAAAAAATCAGTGGGTGCATAATGCTGGTAAAATATATTATGTATGTAAATAAATGTGACTGAGGGTGCATCGAACTGCCTACCATAAATTTTAATGGGTGCATTCACGACCAACTGAGCTAATTTAGTCATGATTGTTCTATTTAACATGACAATTTTTAAAATATTACTAGATCTCGATCCGCACAACCGTGCGGGTATTTTAATACGAAAATATTTGAAATTATATAATACTCACTCTGTTTTAAATAGATGATGTTTTATAAGATTTATTTTATTTCAAAATATAAGATGTTTTGAGATTTTAAGGTATATTTTGAGGTTTTAAAGTTATCTTTAACTTTATTGGAAACTGTTCAACCGATAAAATTTTACTCTTTTTAATAATTTTTTGAATGATTATAAAATTATATCTTTAAAAATACTTTTGTAAAAGAATCTAATTTCTTAATTTTTATGCTATGATCCAAAACATCATATATTAAGTAACGAAGGGAGTAAAATTTATCAATAAATAAATATAATTTGACTGTATATACTATCCAATTTTATAATAATATTTATGTAGCTTATAATATTATTAACAAATTTGTATTTTTGTAACAATTTTTAAAAACATTATTATGTAACATTACTAATTTATATATTTTGTTTTATTTCTAAATTTTAAATATATAAAATGTAAATTAAATTTGACCTACATAATATATAAACAAAATTTTGGGATATTGTTAAAAGTATATTACATAATTTTAGTTTTTTTTAAAAAAAAATGAATTAAATTTTAATTATATTCTATGATAACTAAAATTTTAATCAAAACATTTTTGAAACTATATATTGAAAAGATTCTATAAGATTTTTAAAAGATTTTGTTAGAATTTTCTTAAAATTATTTATTTGTATTTCAAATAAAAATAAAGATATGAAAAGTTATTATAATGATGTTATGTAAATTTATATAAAATTTTTAAGGATGGTCTAAACTAAAAAAATCACACATGAATTGAGTCATGACTTTTTTTTTAATATAATAGACTAGATTTTGACCCGCACAACCGTGCGGGTATTTTAATACGAAATATTTGAAATTATATAATAAAATTTATCAATAAATAAATATAATTTGATTCTGTATACTATCCAATTTTATAATAGGGAGGATTTCAATTATACCACTTTGGTGGTACCACTTTTCATATTTACCATCAACAAATGAACATTTTCAAAAATACACATTTTATTAAAGGATAAAAGACTCTTATATTCTTGTTCTTTATATATATACATAAAATAAATATTAAATAAAATATTAATCTTAAACCCTAAAACATCAATTCTAAACTCTAGGTCCTAAAAAGTAAACCCTAAACCCTAAAAATCAACCATAAACCCTAAAATATCAATTCTAAACCTTAAGCCCTAAACTCTAACCCCTAAAAAGTAAACCCTAAACCCTAAAAACCAACAATAAACCCTAAACTATTAATCCTAAACCCTAAACCCTAATTCTAATAGTATTTTGACTATTAAAATTTTAATGGTAAAGTTGGTTAGTGTAAAGTTGAAAAATGGTATCTTGAAAGTGTTATTTCTGACAATTTCCCTTTATAATAATGTTTGTGTGACTTATAATATTATTAATATAAAATTTATAAATTTGTATTTTGTAACAATTTTTATAACATTATTATGTAACATTACTAATTTATATATTTTGTTTTATTTCTAAATTTGAAATATATGTAAAAAGTAAATTAAGTTGGACCTACATAATGCATAAAACAAAATTTTGTGATGTTGTTAAACGTATTTTACATAATTTTATTTTTTTGTTTATAAAAAATGAATTAAAATTTAACTATATTTTATAATAATTAAAATTTTAATCAAATAATTGTTGAAACTGTATCTTGAAAAGATTCTAAAAGATTTTTAAAAGATTTTGTTAGAATTTTCTTAAAACTATTTATTTGTATTTCAAATAAAATTAAAGATGTGAAAAGATATTATATTTATGTTATGTAATATTTTATAAATTTCTAAGGATGATCTAAAATAAAATATCACACATGAAGTGAGTTATGACTTCTCTTTTAATATAATAGACTAGATTTTGCACCCGCACATCCGTGCGGGTATTTTTTTCATTTTATATAAATATAACATAACCTTTCAAATATATATGATTTACGTACATTCTATTGTTATATATTGTATAATTTTATAATCTTATAATTTTAATTATTTTTATATAATATATTGTTGTAAGTTTTAAACTAAAAAAAATATTCACATATAATTTTTTATATAATGTATTTGTTGTGAGTTACAAAAATATATCTTAACATTTTTGTATAAAAATATTATATGATCTAAAAACTTTATTATATTTTAAAAGTGAGTGATATTTATTTATTTATTTGAATAAAAGATTTTTTTAAAATAAAATATTTTTCTTTACCAATTTAATATATTTTATATTCATTTCACATAGCATTTTGTTTTAATATAATGTAGAATATAACGAAATTATGAAATATAGCAATTTTTACTTTAATTAAAATTAATATTGATACTTATATATATATATATATATATTAATCAGGAAATTAAATAATACATATTTTATAAAATATTTAAACTTCTTAGTAAGATCTTGTTAGATATTTTCTCAACAAATTTATTACTAATATCTTATTATTATTAAAATATTGCTCCAATTATATATATTTGATTGATTAATATATATACTTAAATATGTCATATTAATGAGATAGTCCAATATAACTTTTTGTAGTAGATATAAATGGTACTTCTCTTTTAATAGAGAAGATGGGTGCACTTGCACCCAGAACCGCCAACGTAGCTTCGCCCTCCTGCTGATGGAAACGAAACAGCTGGTGCATACAAGATAGCTCATAGCTGTCACCAAGGGCAAGACACCATCTATCTTAGCTCTGTCTAGACAAAAGCTTCCCCAGCTTCCAGGTACATCCACTGAAGGAGTTGAAAAATGTGGATATACAATCTCTGACTACTCATCAGGAAACAAACCTGGTGTGATCTTGATTGGAACTGGTTCCGAGCTAGAGATTGCTGCAGAGGTGATTAGGAAAGAAGGAAAAACTAAGAGTTTTTTTTTTTGGTCCTGCTGGGAGCTGTTTGAGGAACAAACAGATGAGTACAAGGAGAGTGTGTTTGCCGTCTGGTAAGTCAGCTAGAGTTTGTATTGAAGCAGCTTCTACTTTTGGATTGGGAAGATTGTTGGAGGGAGAGGGAAGTCCATTGGTATTAATTCGCTTGGGGCTAGTGCACCAGCGCCTTTACTATACAAGGAGCCTGGTATCACTGTTGTTGATGCTTCTAAGATATTATAAAAAAATATTATAAATGCTTAAGGATTCCAATGGTGAGTCATTCTTCTACGGGACTTAAAGATCAGACCATTCTCTGTACGGGCAAAGCTATTCACAACATTGTCTCATTATCTAAAAATAAAGACATTCTTCAATTCTTTTTTTGTTACTTGTAATTCGGGTAAACATAGGTTTTGGGTTTGGGAAGAGAAAAACAATGTTAACCTCTCAATGATAATAATTCTTGGTTTGTTGTTAAATGCTCAAACTTTCCAGCTATATCTTCGTGGGTAACAGACACAACACTGGATGTGGATACTGGACGAGAATGTTTAAGTATATCATGATCATCATCATCATTTAACCTTTGGGTCCCGTATATGTCAAAAGGAGATACTGAAGGAATGGTTAAGTTTCCACGTTGAGACATATCATAATAATCCATATCCTAAAAGAGAAGCTAACGTTGTTTGTCGCTTGTCAATTTGTCACCGCGACAGACAACACAAGTTGGACACCTAACTACTTTTGGGTATCCCCAGAGATTATTATGCTATAAGCAAAGTATATACGTATTCCATTGGAATATTGACAAACACTTCTTTGCAAGTTTGTAAAGGACTCGTCAACCCTTGTACAGATATGAATATGTGAGATAACATTGACGCAAATTATCGTTTCAGAAAAAGAAAGCTCAGAGCGTTAGCCATGGGATGCACTAAGAGCATCTCCAAAAAGACACTCTATTTTATAGTTTACAAAACTCTATTTTTGAAATTTCAATGTGTTCTTCTCAAAAAATAAAAGAGAGAATTTCAATTATACCACTTTGGTGGTACCACTTTTCATGTTTACCATCAACAAATGAACATTTTCAAAAATACACATTTTATTAAAGGATAAAAGACATTTATATCCTTGTTCTTTATATATATACATAAAATAAATATTAAATAAAATATTACCATAAACCCTAAAACATCCATTCTAAACTCTAAACCCTAAAAAGTAAACCCTAAAAATCAACCATAAACCCTAAAATATCAATTCTAAACCTTAAACCCTAATCTCTAAACCCTAAAAAGTAAACCCTAAACCCTAAAAAATCAACACTAAACCCTAAACTATCAATTCTCAACCCAAAACACTAAACCCTAAATTCTAATAGTATTTTGAGTATTAAAATTTTAATGATAAAGTTGGTTAGTGTAAAGTTGAAAAGTGGTATCTTGAAAGTGTTATTTTTGGCAATTTTCCAAAATAAAACTTCAAATCTAACTTTAAAACTATTTGTATTTTACTCAACGGTCCTTATATTTTTGTCATATTTAACACAAATTCATAATTTTCTATGAAAAACATAACAATACTATTAATTAAAAATATTTACTCTAAATATAAAATTGTAAATAGAAATACATAACTAAATAATAAAATACAAACAAAAATATCACATTATTTCATAGTTATTTTCATAATGCTTCATCTTAGTTACACAATACTTATTTGGATAATATTTTGGAGATTTTGAAGATTTTAGAGAAAATTAACTATACTATTAGTATTGTTGTAATATTTAAATTTATGTAATAAGTATGATTTTCATGTACCTTTTTAAAAAGTTTTTTTAAAAGTTTATTTTGTAATATTCGTGAAGTCTAGTTTTAGTTTTAAAATAAGATAAATTTTATTTTAAAGTTTTATGTATAAAACTTAAATTTATAAAAGAAAATCTGAAATATTTATAAAATAGAATTTCCGACAAAATATTGAAAAATCATAAATATAATATATAATTAATTGTAAGGACCAAAATACAAATAAAAAGATGAAACTTCAAATTTGAACTTTTAGGAATTGAAACTTCAAATATGAAGTTTCACTCCTCAAAACTTCAAATTTGAAATTTCTTTTTGGAGAGCTAAAAACTCTATATTTGGTGTTATAGAGTGTCTTTTGGAGATGTTCTAAGTAAACATAGAGGGTCTCAACCTCGAAGCTATGGGGACGCAGCACTGAATATCATCGAGGGAGCGTCAAATGAAATGAATGTTAGCCAAACTAAAAGATAGAATCAAGAGTTTTCATTAAATTCAAAATCGAATTGTAAGTTGTATCACATCAAAAACTAGAGAAAACAGATACAAAGTCCATTGTCATAGATTACTTGGTTTGCAATGCTGCAAATGAAATGGTCGCTCATAAAGAACTTTGACCTACTCTATGTTTCCTTAAGCCACAAGGGTGCTTGCGGTGGTAGACTCACTGCAAATACATATCAAGAAATGGGAATCAAAATTCAAAGTAAGAGGATCATTACAATCTGGAAGAAAATCATTCAAAAATTTTGAAGTACTTACTACTTCCAGACGGGTGGGAGCTTCTTGGTCTTCTTGTAGTAACGAGCAAGACGATGGATTCTGCTCTCCACAAGAATCAACCTGAACTTGGAGTCCTTGTCTTTCCTGTTCCTCTCAAGATGCTTGCGGATGGCAACTGCTTTCTTGATCAAGTGATACAGATCCTCAGGGATCTCAGGAGCAAGACCTTCACGATATCACAAATAAACTCTTACTTTCCTTGAATTTTTAAATAAAGAAAGACTCTGGAAAAGGAGGATTGAAAAGTACCATGAGCTTTCAAGATTCTCAAAATCTTGTTTCCGGTAACACTCTTCACCTGAGGGATACCGTGAGAGTCACGAAGAATGACACCAATCTGAGATGGAGTCAAACCCTTCTTCGCAAACTTGCAAATGGACTCATCAACCTATTGAATGCACCAAAACAAAACGTCAGAACAAATCAATCTATTGAGTATCATGCAACAACACATTACTACTTGCAATGTTAGTGAATCTCTTCAATGTTCATAAATGATTTGCAATATCACATTACTTGTACTACACGCATCCTAAATGTAGATGAAACCAATCTTCAAAATGTTCACAACATTTTAAGCAAACGGATATATGAAATGCAAACGGAAACATAGATTGTATCATCGGATCTTACATCTTGGGAGGTTGTCTTGAGCCAAGATGGTGGTGATCGCTTATAGGGCAAAGCAGAAGCTGAGATTCCCTTACTACAGAACACCAAGACAGTTAGGAAGAATGTAAGAGAGCCAGTTTTCAGACAAGGGTAAGTTGAATACAAGAAGGAAACAAGCTGACGAACCCTTTAGAGTGGAGTCGGCCCATATCGACGGCAGTGAACGGAGTGCACTCTCTCTGAGTTCGTTCTTTCTTCGGTTTCTGCCGGCTGCGAAGACGCTCAAGAGTAACCAAAACCCTAGTTGTTATTATTATTAGGCCGTGCTACATATCACTTTTAATATCCGAAGGCCTTTTACAGGCCCATTAATAAAGAACCTTTCTCAAACAGGCCCATTAAAGAGAAAAAATCTTGCAATAAAAAGAGGTATTGAGACATGTAATAAGCCCCCAAGTAAACATATTTGTTGCAAAAAGATTGACATGCCTTTGACTGTTTGTTATTAATATGTAACTTTCCATATTTTGTATGAACTTCACAAATCTATCCTAGAGAACACTCCTTATTCATACCAAATTTCAAAACTTAAAAAAGGTAGAAATGTGTGTCTGGCATTTTATGATTTTTGATAAAGGAAGACTTTTTTGTTACTAATATAACTATGAAAAATGATTTTAATTCCTAAACCAAACATTGAAAACAAAGCTATTTATAACAAAACCTATCTGAGAAGATAATGAAGATGAACTCTGAAGTCTATATAGCTATGAAAGCTAATAATGTTATTAAAACTCTCCAAAAGAAATCTGTCATAAAGGAAACTTCAAGCATGAGTTGATGATAACTGCAATACAATAATACAGTTCAAGATAACCAAGGGAGCCTAATGTTGAGATGCGAATAAGAAAAGCGAACAAAGCTGTGTCCCCAACACTCTTAAGCTGCTTAGTCTTTCCTCAAGTCCATGACTTCGGTCCTGATGCCATCGGCCTTAAGAATCATGATCTCAAGCTTGTCTCCCTATTAAAAGCAATAAACCCACAAAGCATGAGTCAGACACACACAAAAGATGGGTAAATATCTTGAATGGGGTAATATGGGAAAACTTACAGTGTAGATATCCCTCTCAGTGGCAGATGCGAAAACAGTCTTGACCAAGTCAACAGCTTCAGGTTCGGAAAGGGGTGTGATAGAATCCTACATAGATATAGATGACTAAACATAAACAGCTGAAAGCTGAAATGATTCATTATGAGCCTTAGTCCAAATCAGAAACAAAGACAAACCTGTGCCGGCAACAAAAGCGGGCTGGGACTCTTGAGTTGATTGTCAAGGAACGGCATGATCAGAGTGGAACCAGAACCTTGAGCACTATATCCAACCTTCTCATATGAACCAACAGCATCATACGTGAAAACACAACCTTTACCTTCCTCGTCAAGCCCTCCGAGAACATTAAAGGCATAGTAAGGAAAAAAGCGCTTGAAGTAAAGCGTGTTGGAGAGAAGCTGAGCCATTGCAGGACAGCTCATCTGCTTGTTATGCTGATGCTGGTAAACCTGAAGGACACCAACAAAACACACAAAGAGAACAACTGTTATTACTACTACTACTAGGCCAAAGTCTTAATCTTTTGTCAAACGAAATCTCTCACCAAGTGCCTTGATTTGAGAACCTTCTGCAAAGCTTTCACATCAGCTTGAAAGCCAGAGGAAGAGAGCACAGCTTTGTCTGCTCTGGAGAGGTTAAAAGACAGAAACTTTGCGTACTCAGTTAACAAAAATGACCGAATTGCGTAAAACCCATAAACAAAATATCATCAATTCTCCATCCTAGATCTACGAATCATTGATAGCAAAAACCCCAGATTTTCTAACAGAAACCCTAATAAACAACGAAGTATGGAGCTATTGCCAGCACCAAGATTACTTCACCAACGGATCGGAAGCGAGGGTGGTACTTACAGTTTATGGATTTTGGAGTAATCGCGAGTGAGAATACTGTAACCGGTAGACATCCGAGTATCGGCGGCGATAACGCAGTAATCCGATCCAGCAATTGCTACACATGTTCTGAAGTAAAATACACACAGCGATCGATACAAATCATTAAATCGCAATTACAAAACGCTCAATTAGCGAATTAGAAGAAGAAGATACTAGAAGATGAAGCTTCAGCGTATCGATAAAAGGGTGACAGAATCCGTTACCCTCCATTGTTATCGTAAGGAGACCAGTTCGCGTGCTGTTTCGTCATGGAGCTTTCTCCTTCTTCAGCAAAAAGGAATCCTTTGTTAACAAAGAGAAAAAAGAGAGTTGAGAATTGGTAGAAAAGAGAGGGAGGTCGGAGAATAAAAGCTCAAGCACTCTGGCTTTGTAAACACGAAAGGAGACGAAGACTAAAGCTGGTCTGAATAATGGGCCTTAAATTTTATAATGGGCTTTTAGTGAGCTTTTCGTTTCTGGGCCTTAAATTTTATTATGGGCTTCTAGTGAGCTATTGGTTGTTGTTTCTTCTTCGATCGCTCTCGTTCTCACTCACTTGTAAAGCTTCTTCCATTTTCAATTCAAGGTGGGTTGCTGCCTCGAAAAGCCATTCTCTCTTTCTCTATATCTCTCACTCGATTTCGTGTTATCAAGTTATCATCTTTAGCGAGTCTCTTACTTGGTGCTAACACTAATCTTTCTCTTTTTTTTGTTTTTCTGGAAATTGGGGATTTAGGGTTTTTGTGTGAGTGAAGATAATGGAAGCGATTGTTGTTGATGCTGGCTCTAAGCTCCTGAAAGCAGGAGCAGCGATTCCTGACCAGTCTCCTGCAATGATAATCCCATCTCAGATGAAACGAATGGTTGATGATGGGTCTGATAACCCCTCCACTGTTTTGGAAGACGTCACTCTTGATCCTATCGAAAGAGGGTTCATTAGAGACTGGGACGCTATGGAGGATCTGTTGCGTTACGTTGTCTACACTGGGCTTGGATGGGAAGAAGGAAACGAAGGCAATATACTCTTCACTGATCCACTCTGCACTCCTAAGGTCTGTTGTAAAGATTAGAACTTTGATTTCTTTTTCAGGCTCTTTTCACCAGGACAAGACCGCCATGTGTTTTTCAGTTTCATCATAATCTTGTTCTTGTAGTAAAGGTTGCTAATTTGTGTATGTATATGATTGTTTTGGGGGGCAGGCTATTAGGGAGCAATTGGTGCAGTTGATGTTTGAGACGTTCAATGTGTCTGGATTCTATGCATCAGAGCAAGCAGTGTTGTCTCTTTATGCTGTTGGCAGGATCTCTGGTTGCACTGTGGATATTGGTCATGGGAAGATAGGTATAATAATAACTTGGTTCGCTGTTATAATCTCATCTTACTCTTTGCGTATTGGCACATTGTTTTATTTCCATCTCTAGTGTGATTTATGTTACACTTACACTAGCAGTTATTTCCCTTAAAAATATAAAAAACCTTTTTATCTATGCTCTGAAACCTTTAGTTAAACCAAATGTGTTTGTTCCTGTAGTAGATTGGAGGTTCCTTGTGTATGTAGTTTTGTATGATCAGGATGTTGTTATGTGTGATGCTGTCTGTAGCTTTGTGATGGATGTCTCAGTTGTTTTTTTTCCCTAACTATTTCCGTTATACAATATTCAGTTATTAAATGATTTATTATGTTACAGGAGTTGCTGTTTCCTTTTACTATTTACATCCTCTGAAACATTTAGTTAACCAATGATTTTTATTCCTGTAAGTTGTAGTACATTGGAGGTTCCTTGTGTATGTAACTATGTATGATCAGTATGTTGTTATGTATGATATGATGTTTAGCTTTGTGATTGATCTTTCAGTTGTTTTTAACTCTTTTCATGCATACCAGATATTGCCCCAGTTCTTGAAGGTGCTGTGCAGCACATTGCCTCAAAACGGTTTGAGCTCGGTGGAACCGACCTTACAAAACTCTTCGCCCAAGCACTAGGAAAGTCCAACCCTTCGGTGAATCTAAGCATGTCTGATGTTGAAACACTGAAGGAACAGTTTGCAAACTGTGCAGAGGACGAGATTGCTTACGAGAAAACCCAAAACTGTGAAATCGAGCAGCATACACTTCCTGATGGACAGGTTTGTGTGACTGACTACAAATCAAGAGTCTTACAACTTGTGTTTCCTTATAATAACATAATAATGGTCTTGTAGGTGATAAGCATTGGGAGAGAGAGATACTCTGTTGGTGAAGCTTTGTTTCAGCCATCAATACTGGGACTCGAGGAGCATGGAATAGTTGAACAGCTTGTCCGGATTATCTCAACAGTATCGTCTGAGAACCATAGGCAACTCTTGGAGAACACTGTGCTTTGTGGTGGTACAACCTCCATGACAGGTAACAACAATAACTTATCACACTTTGTGCGTGTTGATAATGAAAAAACTTAAAACGGTTGCGGTGTACTTCGTCATTGGCAGGATTCGAAGGCAGATTTCAAAAGGAAGCAAGCTTGTGCTCATCTGCTATTCGGCCAACGCTTGTGAAACCGCCGGAATATATGACTGAGAATTTGGGGTTGTACTCGGCTTGGATAGGAGGAGCAATTCTAGCCAAGGTGGTGTTTCCGCAGAACCAGCATGTTACTAAAGCTGACTACGACGAGACTGGACCATCCGTGGTTCACCGGAAATGTTTCTGATCCGTAAACAGCCAAAACGTTTGCGTTTGTTGTAGCTGAGGATTGCTTATGTTGTGCTGTGTTTAGGATTAACCCTAGTTATTTGGAACACATCCCACTCAATCTATGTACTTCTAAACATTGGAGACTCCCTTTGTTCGTCACAGTTTTTCTGCTCTTACTCTATGAAAAAACTTGCACTTAACATGCTATAAAATGGGTTTAAACCCGTGCCTATCGATACATGGTTAAGAGAATCTCGAGGAACTAACGGCGTCGCTTTGAGTATACAGAGTCTTTTGATCTGCCTGCCAAGGATGTTCCCGATAGGTTGCAGGAGTTAGCTTCTAAGCATAAGGTTGTGTTGTGTTATTAGGCAGAAGTATATTAGGGTTAAGCCGTTTATGGCCAAGGTTAAGGACTATGTTTGTCATAGAGCTGGAGAGCCTGCTTCGAAGAAGTCTAGAAGGGTTCTGAAGAGGGAGCCTTATCAGACAAAGAGATGCGGTTGTGGGTAGCCTGGGCAAAAAAAAACGGAACCGAAAAACCGAATCGAAATGCCTGAAACTGAAACCAGTCCGAAATTCTTAAATATCCGAATGGTTCATACATTTCTATATCCGAAAAACCGGAACTGAACCGAGAACCAAACGGGTACCCAAATATGAAAAAACAAGTTAATTTTTTTAATATAAGATAAAATGACATCAAACCCACTTAAATCCAGGTTGGATATAAAGAGTAAATACATTTTTACCACCAGACCACATTATATTTTATTTATTCTCTTATATTATAAATATATATAGTATTTCTATATTAAATATGATAAATATTTATAAAATTAATATTTTATTGATACTAGACCTTTTAAATTAACATATTAACTAATATATTCTATATATATATATATATATATATTTTTTTTTTATTTATATATTAAACGGGTATTTGGAACCGAATCGAAACCGAACTGGAACCAAACCGAAACGGAACCGAAATCTCATAAGTACCTATTGGGTGTAAGATTAATTTATCCGATATACCCGGAACCGAATAATTCCTATCCGGAACCGGACCGAATATCCGAGTGCCCAGGCCTAGTTGTGGGTTTAGGATTGGAGCTATTTTCCCCATTGCTAACTACAATGAACAGGACAAGACATTTGTATATCAGGAAGAAGGAAACAGCTGTTTTTAAGATGTACGCTGTTCATTCAGGGGATGAGCCTGGGGCATTGGATGGGAATGCGAGAATCATGCATCGGCTTGTTGGCTATAAGAGCTTTTTGATGGAACAAGATATAGTCTATGGTGTGAGGGAAGACTTGGATGGTGGAGATATGCGTTTTAGTGTTTTGCATCAGGTGCAGCAGGAGCTGACTCAGCTGAGGACTGAACTCGGTTCTTTAGAAGGAAAGATTGGGAAGATTTCACAAGAGATGTTGGGTTCAGTGTCTGGAGATTTGTTTGAGAAGCTCAACAAGATCAGGAGTATCGGTGATGTGGGTGTTAAGGCAAGCTCAAATGATATACTTGTTGGAGATAACCATTTAGCTCATTGAAGTGACCATCATCATCACCGTGAGCACTTGTATCATGGAGATGGGAAGGATACAGAACTTATTGATGATGAGGATAGTTTTGGGAGGAGCCTTGGTGATGTTGTTCCTTGGGAACAGATAAAACGACCACCGGGGTGTAGAAGCCCAAAAGATTTATTGTCTGAAACATGTAAGCCTGAGAAATGGTTGAAGCGTGATGACTTTCATGAGAAGAGCATTCTGAACTGTGAAGATTCTAAGTTAACAAAACCGATGAGAGACAATGAAAGTACAGTATCAGAAGTAGGTTTAGTTGGTATACAAGTTGATAGCTTCTATCAAGAAAAGTCCAAATAGTATAATTCTCCTTGTGAAGAAGACAATGGATTGAGACACGAAGAGATTTTGCAGAGACACGGTAAGGTTGTTCTCTCTGCAACGAGTCTCCATCTGACACATCTTCTTGTGCATATCATATCACATATCAGATTCTATATTTTATTGTATTCGATAATTAACCCAATGCTTCAGGGGTATTTGTTTGTTTGTATGTAGTAGCTCTGTAGGGGTTTCTTTGTGGTGTGGTTATGTAAAGTTGAACCCAGATTGTTTCTTTGCATATACAACATTGTTAGTTAATTTAACAAAGATTTGTAACCTTTTGAATTTTTCAGTTTTGATTAATGTGAAATGATCATCTGTGGCTCCCAAATCATTTGTGTGTATATAACTTTATACTCTTTAGGTTCCATGTGATTTCACCAGAGAGTTTGGAAAATAAATAAATAAAAGATAATGATGAAATATAATCATTGATATTTATTAAGACTTAGTACATACATAGATTTAGGTCTCTAGGGAGGGCTACAAGAACAGGTAGTACAAACGTAATTAAGAAACAGGGTTTCTTTTTTATCAAGAAGATCACTAAAGGAAGGAGGATTAAACAGGGGAGAGTTGTGAATGAAGCAGAGAGAAGAGAGCACTGTTTTCTTGGTGGAGAAGAAGAGCTTTCTTCTTTAGTGCCTCGTTCTCTCGTATGATGCTTTGATTCTTTAGGAAGAGCTTCATGTTTCTCGTCTTCATCTCCTTCTTTGCCTTCAGTATTCTTCTCCTCCTGCTTCAAAAGAAAGGAAGAAGAAGAAGATACAGAGTAAAATTGTTATAACTAAGAACGCTAAACACAGAGTTAATGTGTCTGAAACTGAACCTGGTGAGATTAAGGACACGAAGATGGGTTTGTGTCTTAGGTTTACGTTTGTTGTGGCACGAAGCTGATCTCATCGTGTGTCGACGTGTGTTTGGGAATGATTCTGAAGATCTCAGACACATCTTACTATGGTTTTAATCCGCATAAAGTACTGAGTAAACACAATGTGAAAGTAAGATTTATATAGAAGTAGATAGAGCGCTTGTGTTTGATAAGAGAGAGAGGAGAGAGTGATGAAGAGAAAGAGAGAAGTCTTTTGAAGGTAATGATGGTAAAAGAAAACTCATGATTATAGAGGGACCATGGATGCATGGGTTAAGGACGAAGATGATTAAGAAAAAGACCAAAACATACTCTCTTTCTCTCTCTCTTTAGTGTCTCTATACTTCTTGTTTTTGATTGACTAGTTACCTCAAACAGCCAAGAAACAGTTGAGTTACATACCAAACAGACCATAACAATAGACAAATCATTCAGTTTCACACTTATAGTTTAATTGTATTGTAATTGACAAAGAGAAAGATCACACAAATATTTTCTATATAAAAAATCTAATCAGGTGATATGAACAGAGAATAAACGGAACATAATTGATGAGGCTAAGGACTACTAACAGTTCTTACTCAATTCTTGTGTTGATATATTTTCAAGATGATACCACATATTCAAAAATTAAAGAATGGCGAGGAACAAGTCAACGTACAGAATTATTAGTATGCTTCAAAAATGATAAAAGCTGTTATAATTCGATACCTATAGTCTCTACTCTTTCTAGCTACTCCTAGAGTAAGCATATTGTCTACCCACAAGAGATGATGGGTCTTCTTCAAACCATGCATCAAACATAAACTAAAGCTTACATAAGCAAGGGATAAGTATCATAAATGGCAAAATATCTACCATAGAGTAGGGGGAATTTCTGGTTTTGGTAGTACTGCTTACAATGATGAGTTTTGTTTCATAGGAGTGGTCCAAATCAGAATCACCACGCTCCCTTCATTATTTCAAAACGGTACCTTATATGAATCCCCCATCTACCTTGCCACAACCATTTCAAGAAATTGATAGACAATAATTATGTTGTCAACAAAAGATTAGTACATAACTACATAAGCAAGTGTCTATATGTTGCCAAGACCGATTTAACAAAATTTAGAAAAAAAATGTTTGGTTATGACATATATACGCCTATCACTTAGAAGGATTTTTATAACATTGATTCCATTATCTGTATTTATATTTAACTTGAACCAAAAGAATGTGTCGGTGTAATAATCTTTGGGAATAACCATGATGTCCATTCGCTCTTGAGAAATACTCCATTCGTTTTATGAAGATAGTAGTTTTTAAAATTTATTTGTTTTACAAAGGTGCTGGTTTTGTATTTCCAATGTAATTTTATACGAGTAGTTTTTAATCCATTCTACTCATAATAGTTAAGACAATTACTATATGTAATAATCTTTATTTGAAAGTTATGTATTTAATTAGGATTATTTTGGTATTATAGTTTTATTTTTAAAATATGTGAAAACTCTACAAGTATGATTTTGTGGAGCAAGAGAGTAATAAATTGGCTTAACTTTTTGATGATCCGGCCTGCTTAGAGCTTCTCCAAAAATACTCTCTATTATAGAGTTTGCAAAACTCTATATTTCAAGTTTGAATGTGTTATACTCCAAAAGCAAAACTTCAAACATAACTTTAAAACTATTTTTATTTTATATAATAGTTATTATATTTGTAATAACTAATTCAAATTCATAAAACTTCTTTAAATAACTATCATGTATAAAAATATTATATAAATATTATTTGATAAAACGTTACACTAAAATATAAAACTATAAATAGAAATATATAATTAAATATTAAAGTACAAACAAAATACCACATTATATCATGTAATATTGTTGTTGTCTAGTTCTAGGTTTAATTTTGAGTTATAAAAATAATTTTGAGTTATTTATGAAATAAGAATTTTTATAGATTAAAATGAGAAATAATAAAATATTTAAGATTATTATAAATATGATGTGTATTAATTGTAAGGACCAAAATGCAAATAAAATATGAAACTTCAAATTTGAAGTTTTGAATAGTGATACTCTATATTTGAAGTTTCACTACTCAAAACTTCAAATTTGAAGATTTAGAGTTCCTTTTTGGAGAGACAAAAACTTCATATTTGAAGTTATAGAGTGTCTTTTGGAGATGCTCTTAGAAGATCTCCAAAAACTGTATATTTTGTAATTTTCAAATTTTATATTTGAAGTTTTAAACTGTTTTTCTTTAAACGAAAAATTGCAAACATAACTTCAAAATTATTTATATTTCATACTGTAGTTCTTTTATTTGTTACAATTAATGTAAATTCATAAAAAAATATAAATAACACACATATATAATAACTACACAGCAAGATTAATTAATAAAATTTTACACTAAAATATAAAATTATAAATTCAAATACATAATTAAATATTAATCAGAATACCACATTCTTGTTGTCTAATTCTATTCTTAAAATATTAAATAAGTTTTCTTTTGTAATATTATTGTTGTCTAATTTTAGTTTTAAAATATTTTAATTTTTTATAAAATTTGAAGGAATGAAAGGATAAACGAAAATATATTTATAAGATCGACTAATTTAAAAATTTATGAGATATAAAATTTGAAGGAATAAAAGGATAAACGAAGATATATTTATAATTATAAAATTTATTTGTAATTATGAGGAACAAAATATAAATAAAAAGATAAAAGTTCAAATTTGAAAGTATTAAATAGTGAAATTTCAAATATGAAGTCTCGTTTCTTAAAATATTAAATTTAAAAAGTTCTGAAATTATATATTTGGAGTTATATATATATATATATATATATATATTTTTTTTTTTTTTGAGATCCTCTTAGTTATATTTTTGAAAAACACAATCGTATCGATTTTTTATTGTAATTATTTGATTTCAAACGTTCAGTGGTGGTGCCATCTTTCGGCATGTATAGTAATCAAATAAATATTTTTCAAAAATTTAGAGTTATTTTGAAAATGATTTTATGTTTTCCTATAAAACTTGAATTTTCACAAGGTCACAGAATTAATGAGACGAGTTTGACTACGTTGTATGGCCTATTTATAAGAGAAAGGTCTCTTAGAGCATCTTTATCCTATATACCCATTAAAAAGTCTCTTATTTGTTTTTTAAAGCATAAAGTTGATTAAGAGATTTAATTAAAAAACTTGAGATTTTCATATCTCTAAGAGACCTTTCTCTTATAATTATTTATACCCTATTTGTTGATTGCTTGACATTTCTCTGTTTATGATATTTGTGGTGAAAGGGAAGCCGCCCACCGCTGTTAGTTAAACACTACAAGAAAACACAAGTTTTACTAGGATGGTTTTGCCTCGTAATTTCCTAGTAATGGACCCTTTACTAGGAAATTACGAGGAAACGCGCTTTGTCGTGAATCGTTCATCGTAAAGCCTTTTTCCTCGTAATTTCCTCGTAAACGAGTGGAGACACATTTCTTCGTAAAGTTGTAGTAACCACTTTCCTCGTAATTTTCTAGTAATGCTTTACTAGGAATTTACTTCGAAATGTTTTTCCACTTTCCTCGTAATTTCCTAGTAATGCTTTACTAGGAATTTACTTCGAAATATTTTTCCACTTTCCTCGTAATTTCCTAGTAATGCTTTACTAGGAATTTACTTCGAAATAGTTTTTCCTATTAAAACAAAATAAATAAAATAAATATAAATAGTATATTATTAAAAAATTAAAAAATCCAAATTATAAATAAAAAAGAAATAACAAAATATTTTATAAATAACTAAATATTTAAGTTTTAAGTTCATATACAATTAAAAAGAAAAAAAAAACTAAACTACGAACATCCTCGTTAAATTGACGAACGAAGTCGTCATCCCGGCTCGACAACTAGTATCATTTAAAAAAACAGTTAAAAAAACTAAACCAACATAATCTAAATTCCCTAAACTAACCACCTAATCTAAATTCCTTAAACTAACCACCTAATCTAAATTCTCTAATCTAATCACTTAACTAGGAATTAGATAATACCTTAAGAGGATTTTGAGAGAAGATTGCTACAAATGAGAGAATTCGGATGACTCGACTTATATAGGGAATTTGGTTTCCTCGTAAGGTCCTCGTAATTTTATGAGGAAATAGCTAATCCCGCGTTTAGGGTTACGAGGACTTTACGAGGAAATCGCGAGTCCCGCGTTTAGGTTTCCTCGTAAAGTCCTAGTAACATAGTTACTAGGACTTTACGAGGAAACATTTTGCTAGGAATTTACTAGGAAACAGCGAGTCCCGTGTTTTCTTTTACTAGGGTTTTACGAGGAAAGGGTTTGTAAATCCCTAAACTCGAAACCCCAAACACCAAACCACAACTTCCTTAACTTATAACCTCTTCTACACCTAAACCCCAAATTCTTAAAACTAAACAACCTAATATAGATTCCCTAAACTAACCACCTAATCTAAATCCCCTAAACCTTAAACCCTAAACCTAAACCAACTTCCATAACTTATACCTCTACATCTTCCTAAACCCCAAACCACAAATTTAAAAAAAAAACTAAAAGAAGTATACAATCATTGGAACGGTTTTTATCAACCCCGCATAGCTTTCCTCGAACTATCTACCTGAGGAAAAGCCCCAAGCTATTTCTTTGAGGAAAAGCTATGCCGAGTTGATAAGAAACTATTTTGTTGACTGTAAACTCCTTTCAGTTATGAATTGAGTGTTTTCTATTTGTTTGGTGTGTTTGAAATGAATAACAAATGGTGGTACTTATAGAAATTTTCGAATCTGAACATTTACTAGGAATTTGTGAGGAAAATTACAGTCAAAACACGTTTTAGATTTAAAATAGATATTTTCTAACCAGTTCCTCGCTAATTAGAAGTAAAAGAAGATTTCCTCCTAATTTCGTAGTAATGTTTTACTAGGATTTTACGAGGAAAGTTTTACTACGAAATTACGAGGAAAAGAACATTTCCTTTTAATTTCGTAGTAATGTTTTACTAGGACTTTACGAGGAAAAGTTTTACTACAAAATTACGAGGAGATGTTCTTTTGCCACGTAATTTCCTCGTAATTTTATTACGGTCTTACGAGGAAACAGTTTTCTCGTATGTTTACGAGGAATTTACGAGGATTCTTGTTTTCCTCGTAAAACTGAAGTAATCTCTTAGTAAATGTACGAGGAAATATTTTCCTAGTAAATTTTCTTAGTAAATGCCGAGTTTTCTTGTAGTGAAAAGTGTTGGTCGATATGGTTAAAACATCGAAGATCCAACCATGTTAAAACAAAAACAAACGTTAAGATCTCTGCAGCCACTTTTAAGAGGATACAATGTCACCATTGAAGATTAGTTTCTTTCGCTGTTGTCTGCAAAAGCCTAATCCTATCTATCTTTCACTTCGCTGGAGAAAATCAATCAATTATAAGAAGAATGAGCTGAAGCAATCAAATAAAGTGATCTTTAAGAACGCTGCAACCGCTTTAAGAGGCTACAATGTTCATCGCAAGCTAGTTTTTCTCTCTTTCGTCTACAAAAGTCTATCTTTCACTTTGCAGGAGATCAATCAATTATAGAAAAAAGAAGAATGGGCTGAAGCAACCAATCGATTTCATAATAAACTAACAATCTCTCTTCCCATATGCATATCATGTTATGGTCTTAACTTAGCTATTTACTCTTCACACACTCTAGGCACAATGCTAGGACTTAAAGAAAGCTTCAAACTTACTTCAACTGGGCTCTTCTTAGCCACATTGGACCAGTATTTGTTATGAATCCTTGTCCTCCAATCAACGTCAATGGTCAGCATCATCTCCGGTTTGTGATCAACGGCTGTGATGCAAGTTATCTAATCTCCTGTTTCCACCGCTGTTTAACAGAGAACTGTCCCGTACTCTCTCCGTCTGCCTCGTGATAAGTTGTTTGATGTCACCTATACATACACGTACATTTTCATATAAAACTGATGGAAATGTGATGAGATTCGGATGTATTGTTAACATTGACAGAGATTTTGTGGGAAGAATGAAGAGGATGATCTTCGTGAGGGTTTACGATGCTGTATTTGCCGACAAGTATTGCGTTCGCGTGAATCTCCTCGGAGATGCATTTCATGTGGCCAGAAAGTAGCTCGTAGCGCATTAAGAATGCCGCGGGAGATAAAATTGAAAGGATCAAGAGTATGATCTTCGAGCTCCGATAAAGATCCATGGCGGCTCTGATGTAGAGAGATGTTGATCACTCGATTTGGATTCAAAATAGATGGAGTACACGAAGTTGATCAAGAGAGATATGAGAGAGACTAGAAGATGTCCATGTTAAGCAACGTTGCTTACGTGATCTAAGGCCGTCCGCAACGGGAGAACGTAGCCGATCCTTGTGGCTAATCCTTGAGATTAAAAGGATTATTATAATCAATTGTGGTTCAAATAGTGACGGATCAATCCTAATATAAGGGTTTAGAAGGACTTGATCCTTAGCACACGTGTCGGCTTGTGGTGTGTTTGTCTTTGGTTTATGAAAAAAAAAATTCATTTTAGATCAATTGAGAAAAAAAAGTCACTTTATATTTAACCATTGTATCTTTTTTAGAAATAATGAAATTAATAAAATTTATTTTTAAATTCATAATAAATTTTAAATTTAAATTTCAGTTTTCAAAAAAAATTATATTATTTTTAAATTCAGTTTTCAAAACAAATTATATTATTTTTAAATTCAGTTTTCAAAAAAAATTATATTATTTTTAATTTCAGTTTTAAATTCAAAACAAATTTAAAATTTAAAATTTTTAAATAATGAAATTAATAAAATTTAAATTTCAGTTTTTTTAAAAAATTATATTATTTTTAAATTCATAAGGACTCTATCGTCGGGAACACCATTGGACACTCACTTTTGATAGGAATCCCTAACTATTCCAAAAAAAAAAGATATTACTATAATATTCATAAGGACTCATGGGTGGGACCATTGCATATGCCCTAGTTAAGCGACGTTGGTTAGTTAAATATGGAATTTTCTTTTATTTTTAATCACAATTAATTTAAGAGACCCTTCTAAAATATTGCGATAATGATGCTCTAAGCGTGGTTACGTTACGTAAAATTAAAGTGTGACAAATTAAGAGACCAATACAAAAACCTCAAACTGGAAAAACTAGTTAGCTAGAATAGATCTCAAAGTTTCAAAACAGTACTACTATAAACCAACACACCGAAACGAAACAAAAGCAATAATCTAAATCTAAATTAACACAAAGATTATTTCAAACCCCACTCTCTTGTACCAGTCTTAACATAGCTTAATAGAATAACACAGAAACAAACAATAACATAAGGGAGAGTGACAATCTGCGTAATTACTAGAAGCTGGAAGAGTTTTTTTATAGCAATAGGGATGTAGCGGCAAGAGTGAACAATGCGGTGAAGTACGCATGACTGTTCACATGAAACGCGGCGTTTTTTGCATGGCTGTTCTCTGAACTTGTTGGCGAGTCTGACGGAGCTACTTCCGTCGGAGGTGCCGGCGGAGAAGATTTTACCGGTAAAGGTGCTATCACTGGAGGAGGAGACTTAGCCGGAGATGGATGCTCAGCCGGAATCGGTGTTGGTGCGCTCACAGGTTCCAGTGCCGGAGCCGGAGATGGAGATTTTCCGAATAGCTCGGCGGGGAGGAGAATTTTATCCACTTTGAATATAACGACGGGTGTCTCATCGACCAACGTGTCAGCTAGTCTCGAAGGACCAACCCCAGTGTGGAGAAAAACGTCATCACCGGATGTTGACGTCGTTAAATCGTATTTTCCGGCTCCGTTAGTGGCTAACGTGGATATTACGTTTTTGTTAATCTTTAATGAGCCTTTAGGTTTGTATTCACCAAGGGCGTGATACTCTAGGAGCGAGACCACCTCAGCTTGTGTGAGCTTTGTCAGATCTGGTACATCTCTGAAAGCTTCATCGGACGGTGCAAAAACCGTCAAGCCTTTTTCGACGGTGGATTCGTAGGTTTTAAGCACACCGCTCGAGACAAGCATACTCGCAAAGGTTTTACAACCAGCTTTCTCGAGAAGTGCGGTCATGTTGTTGGAGGGAGCTGGTGCGGTTAAGATTCCAGGAGCGATGATCGGAGCGTTGATCTCAAGAACGGAGATGTTGTAAGGGATTTGCTTAACTGATTTGGTGTAGTTGGAGTCGAGCTTGGAGCCAGGAGCGGCGGAGCCAAAGCCGATCTTGCCTCCTTTGAGATCGGTGACGTTGACAAACCCTGTGTTTCCGGCGGCGCGACCGGTGGTTTGGTAAAGCGTGGTGGTGAGAGTGGTGCCTTGAGAGATCTTGTGGAGCTTTAGGGGATCGTAGTAATCGAGGAGGACGAGGAGGCTGAGAGCAGTTTTGATAACAGAGAGTGGATGTTTTCCGGCGAGGGAAGACATTGTGTCATTGTTGAGGACAAGGACGGTTATGGTATTGCGGCTGTTGATTTCGTCGGAGAGTTTTGTTTGGGAAAGGTAGCTGTTGAAGGAGGAGTATTCAGGCGATTCGGACAGAATTTGAGTGATGTTATGGCCGGAAACAACGGCGAGTAGAGGTAGAGTGAATGCAAGGAGACAGAAAACTTGTGATGCCGCCATTGAATGTTTAACGGTTGAGTGGAAGTGTGGACTGTGTGGGAGAAGAGGTAAGTGAGAAGACACGAGTTTTAAAACAAGACAGAGGAGTTTAAACGTTACACTTAACCATGGATGGATTGAGAACACCTGGCTTTGATTAAGAAAGCATGTAAATCACGTAAAATGGGCTTCATGCATGCTTCTTTTCTTCGGTTGGTCTTCCAAAAGCATACGTTATAGTATCTTTTTGTCATCTGATATTACTAAACAAAGGCAGTTTGAACAAAAGAAAAAGATTACAAGACAAGAATGTTGAGTGTAAATTACATTGTGTAACCAACAAAAACACTGACAACTACCCGAAAAAAGAGACTGGACCTGACACAACCAAGAGACAAGGTTGCATACGTTACAGTAACATTTTCATTACGTCACCATAGTCTCTGATATGAATGATAAATAATCTTTGACATCATTTTAAACGGTGGTGGTAATCCAATTGTGTTTCAGGAAAAAAAAAATTCAATAGGACGAAATTATGGTTCGATTTGCGTTGGTCATCCAAAACTGTCTTAGAGCATAATTATCTCTAAAAACTCACTTAGATTTCTTAATTATTTTTTGTTAAATAAAAAAAAAAATAAACGAACCAATCGCGGATCACCATGTGTCCACGAAGGCTTATAAATTATACGGTACGGAATTGGGTAGCCATTCGGAAGACCGCACCCCGCGCGGGACAGGGTTGCCGTGACCCGCTCGACGATGAGCCCACTGCAGTACGGGACGGAACGGGATGGGAAAACCCAATTGCCATCTCTATTGTTAGCCATAACCTTTTTCTGACAGATCTCACAATCTGTTGCAGCTTTCTTCTTCTCTCATTTCTCCTTTAAAGATATTAGCACATCCAGATAACCATCAGCTAGAGTTTTCTTGACTTATGTATGATGAAGCTCGTCCGCGTGCTTCGCCGTCAAGGATTCAATATACATTTCCAACGCAAAAACCTGCTCTATGGACGATTCCTTTCATTTCTGACGACTCGAAGACAAGGCTCAAGAGAAGCAGCCTGATTTCCCAACATCTCGGCCGCCGTGAATTGAACAACGTTGGCACGCTCCGTGTCTTGGGCCATCTTTAAACTAAGATTCAGTTCTCAAACAACCTTCTTGACTTCGTAAAGCTCGCCAGCCCGAGGAATATCTCGCAAACGCTTCTCCAAAGTCGCTGCGAATTCATTATTAGCTTCCATAGCCTGAAGACACAGCAAATCATACATGATAAGAAGACAAATATCTAAGATCGAAGGACTAATCCAACTAACCTTAGCATGAGCGACCGCCATCTTCACATAAGCATCACGTTCCGTCATATTCCGTAACGAAGGGAGAGGGCATCCGCTGGCTTAAAATGCCTGACCAAGTGAGCAACACTATTGGGATCGTCCGTAATTGGACAATCCTTGGCATGATAAATTGGCAATGAAATGGCTTCACGAACGCACCGTCACTCGCAGAGCCAGATCGAGCATCACTCTCCGATGTTTTCTCCTTCTTTGTAGGAAGATCACACCCCTCTAAACTATTTGGGCTACCAGAACTCAGACGAGTTACCGCTCGCGGTTCCTCCAGATCTTTAGCCTCAGACCGAGCCATTGCACGTGGGAATCAGGGCTCCTCGCGAAGAACTTTAGTGAGCGCTTTTCTCACATCACCGGAACGGATCCACCCCGCACACGTTCCATTGTTCCAATTAGGAACTCTTTCAGATTCACGAGAACTCGTTTTCCTTGATGTCATGGTTCCTTATAAGAAGGAAAGAGCTTTCAGAGATATAGAGATCGACAGAAAAAACTCGATATTTGTAAAGGCAAAAATAAACCGAACAATATCAACCGAAAGGAATAAGATCTCGAAAATCTAGAAGAAAAAGATACCTTCAGATCCGCAGTTATCAAAAGTATCTATAATTAAATACTGGTATTTATATATGCATACCTAAACTTCTTTTACGTGCTAAAATATACTCGAAATATAAGTTTCTGGAAATAACATACCTAAACTTTTTTTACGTGCTAAAATATACCTAGATTTCTTTTGTGTGCAAAAACACACCTGAAATTTTCTTGTGTGCGAAAATATACCTAAATTATACATAATTTGAATTACATACATGAAATTATAAAATCCACGCTAATTGTACATTGACATTAACAATATTTAATCATAGTTAACGATATTAACTAGGATAATAAGTGGTTGATTAGTCAGCTTCACATACAAACATGTTGTATAAAAGCTCAAAATATGTTGGAATTTATGATTTTGGACCAAAAGATTTTATTGTCAATCGCAGCTAAAACCTAAGCTTAAAAAGAGACAAAAGATTTTTGTACCATTTACTTTATAAATATATAAATATTAAAATATTAAAATTAAATACTAAAATAATTTTTTTATTTTTTATTGCTGGATTGTAAGTTTTTCAGATTCACACATTTTTAATAAATCCATTTACTTTCGAATTTGTTTTTCTGATTTTTTTTTAATTTTGTTTTAAAAATTCAAAAATGCTTTCTGAAATTCGAAAATCCTTTTTGAAAATATTCATCAAATTTTTATTTTAAAATTTTTAATATTTATTTTCTGTTCTTGAATATTTAAACTCCAGCCCAAACTCCCCCCCCTTTAACTTTAAACAAAAAGGTCTAGAGTTATTTAAACTCATAGGTATAAGAATGTATTTGTCCTGCAATACAAATTTTTTTGGTCATTTTCTATTTTAAAAGTTTTTTTGTGAAAATTAATTAAAAGAGATTATTCCAGAAAATTTCTCATCAAACATAGTTAATGTCAATGTATGAACTAACATGGATTTTATAAGTTCGTGTATGTAATTCAAATTATGTATAGTTTAAGTATGTTTTCACACACAAGAAAAATTTAGATATGTTTTTGCATGCAAAAAAAGTTTAGGTATGTTTCAGCACACAAAAAAAAATCTAGGTACATTTTTTCAGATATTCATAGTTCGGGTATGAATAAACCGTTTTTCCCTCTCGACATTAGTAATCTACCACTAAATCTCAAAGACAAAAGCTTTCCAATGGGGGAGTTTTCCACCTAAATTCTTAAAATATATATTTATGTATATATATATAATATAAATAAAAATATTTTAAAATTACTATAAATTTAATTAAAACTATCTCTAATTTTAAGTATTTGTAATTAACTACTGGTATTTATATATGCATATATATATATATACAATATAAATACAAACATTTTAAAATTACTATAAATTTAATTAAAACTATCTCTAATTTTAAGTATTTATAATTAACTACTGGTATTTATATATGCATATATATATATATATATATATATATATATATATATATATATATATATATATATATATATATATATTTGAGTACACAAAGGTGATCATTCTCTATTGGGATTGTTTCAGAGAAAAAAAATTGGGTAGGATTTTCCATAACTGCAAGATAATCATAATTAAATATTATATATATAATAGAAATATTAATGTATGTATTTTGAGAAAGAAAAAATGACTAAAATAGCACTAAAAACAATTTTATCACAAATATAGCAATTAAAAATAAAAATGACCAAAATAGCACTTAATGTTTTATCAAAAGAGATAAATATATACCTATATTCCAATGATAAATTAATTTAGAGATTAGGGTTTAGAATTAATGGGTATGATTTAGGGTTTAGAGTTTAGGGTTTAGGAAGTATTTAGGTTTTAGGGTTTAGAGTTGGGAAATAGAGTTTTGGAAATAAGATTTCAATTTTTGAAAAAAAAATTAAAATTTTCAAAAGATAAAATGCTATTTTGATCATTTTAGTTTTTGAGAATTATTTTTATGACATAAACTTAAAAATGTGCTATTTTGGATATTTGTCAATTGAGAAATTTTGGTTGAAAAACTACTATGGGGTTGCTCTAGGAATTTAAGGAAGAAGAGGCTGTGCACGTGTGAGCATACACGGATGACGTGTCACTTACTCTTCACTTCTCACATGATTTCTACTGGGCCTGTCTTAAGCCCAAACTGGGTAAGCCGGTGAATAACAACGAGTCAACGACAAAAGAAAAAAAAAGCTCCGCCGCATATTCTCAGATCGGATCTTTCGCACTAGAGAGAGAGAGAGAGGATGCAGAGGGACGTGTCGAGCTGCAACACTTACAACTATGGAGACGCTCACTACTGGGACGCTCGTTACGTGCAAGACGCTCTCTCTTTCGACTGGTACCAACGCTACTCTTCTCTTCGCCCTTTCGTCCGAAACTTCGTCCCCACTTCTTCACGAGTCCTCATGGTTGGCTGTGGCAATTCCCGTAAATATCTCATTCTTCCTCCACCTCCTTAGAGAATATAGGCTATGGATTCTTCGAAATATTTTTAACTCCACAGTTAATTGAAGTGACTTTAGAGTGTTCCAAGTTAAAAAAAAAAAATTTGAACTCTTTGGTGCAGTTATGTCGGAGGATATGGTTAAGGACGGATACGAGGATATTATGAACGTTGACATCTCTTCCGTGGCTGTTGAGATGATGCAAACCAAATATGCTTCTGTTCCTCAGCTCAAATGTACAAACACTTTACATCTATAGTGTCATTTACTTGATTTTAAGTAGATGTAAAGGGAAGAAGCTTTATTTGTTAACAGATATGCAAATGGATGTGAGAGATATGAGCTACTTTGAGGACGAGTCCTTTGACACTGTTATTGATAAAGGTAAGTCCTTTTGTTCCTCTGTTTTGTTTGGTTGTTCTGGTGGAGAAAGCTTATTGGTTATATTTTTTTTGTGTTTTTTTTTGTTAGGAACACTTGATTCATTGATGGTAGGGAGTGTATCTTGAATCTACTCATCCTTTGTTTTACGGTATTACATGTCTCCATGCGTATGTTTTTTTTAAAAGCTTTCTTCTTTTGTGGTGGCTTTGTGTGTACTTGCTTCCAGTGTGGGAATGATGCTCCTCTAAGTGCTTCGAGAATGTTGGGTGAAGTTAGCAGGTTACATAGCTAGTTAGAACCACCTGATGTCATGCTTGCTCCTTGATCGTCACTATTATTGTTTTCACCTTTTAACATTGAACATATATGTTTATGAACCAACAAAACTCTTTCTCTTATTCATTTTTGCAGGCTGATTAAACCTGGAGGGACCTATTTCCTGGTAACATACTTTCACTTGCTATGTCTTGAACTGTTCTTGTCCATCATCGTCACATGTAAACTTAAACATTGACTTGTGTGCATGTTAGATAACTTATGGTGATCCGAAAGTGAGAATGCCTCATTTGAATCCTTCTACTTATAACTGGAAGATCTCCTTATACATCATACGTAAGCTTTTACTCACTCTCTTTTTTAAACAAGAAAAGCTTCTTACTATCATACTAGGAAACTGCACTCTCTGCTTAAGCCTTTTTCATTCATGTAGCAAGACCAGGGTTTAAAAAGCCAGGAGAGTGTAGCTCGTCTTGTCTAGAAGCAATACCATTGACAAGTGAAGGAATGTTGCCACATGATTATGTTCTGGAGGATCCTGATTCCCATTTTATCTACATATGCAATAAGACAGATGAAGAAGTATCTCAAATACCCTCATACCCATTAATGGAAGATGTTCTGTAGTGTGATGCTTGTGTATGGCGAAGATCAATGCCAAAACTGTGCACTAAGTGTTTTCGTTTTGATCTCAGGTCTACTGTTGTATTCTTGTATTTCTCTTTTTGATCTATATCCCAGTTGTAACTCTAAAGTTTAAGTTTCTTTTATACGAATAAACATCTTTCTTTTTTCATATATTCTTGTATAAAATCTTCATAGTGAAATCATCATTTTACAAATAGAAATTAAAACTAAGGACATCTTCAACCCAACTACATGTTTTACTTCCAAATTAGAATAAAAATAATTATTATTAAATAATTATGATGATAAAAAAAATGTTTCAAACTCATTCTTTTTCTCACTTCTATAATAAGATTTACTAAATAAATAAAATAATCTATTTTTTATTTACTTCATAAATGAAGTAATCTATTTTCTATTTGTTCATTATTTTATTTTATACTAGGTCGGTCCGGGCTACGCACAGGTTTGAATGAAAGTGCTTGCTATGAAATGTGTTTTTTTTTTAATAAAATATGTCATCAATTTTGTATGATTTTGTTAAGTTAAGATTAAATATGAAAGTGTCATGTGCATGTATTTTAATAATATAATTATTAAGACAGAATATTTAATGGTTGGTTTTTTTTCTAAGTTAATTTTTTAAAACTAAATAAAAAATAATTTTAATTGGTTAATATTTATGATAATATATAGTTATATTATATTATGGTGATCCTTAAATTTTCTTTTATATTTTAATATCTAAATAAATCTGGATATTATATCAAAAATTTAGCGAAAAAGTATATATCTATGTTTTAATAAATATGATTTATGATTATAAAGACCAGAATTTGTTATTAAAATATATATAGCTACGGTTGTTTTAAAAAATCTATAAACCCCAAAATGTTAGTTTATATATCAAACCAATCCAAATTAGATATGATTCTAATAAGATAACAATTTTTTTGAACCGAGAAATTAAAAAACTCAATACAAAAAATTGTAACTAGTTTAAAATGAGTCTCATACATTCTTAGTTTTTTAGTATTCATATTTTTTAATTTTATAAGCTTTTAATTGTAATTATATCTTGGAAGACCAAATTAATAGCATTTTTGTTATTTGTTACTCAAAGATATTTTATTAATAACGAAAACATAGGGAATTTTTCTTTAAAAAATAGATAATGGCATAAAGACCACAAATGTATAAGTTTGAACCGAGAACACGTTGTCTAAGATATTGTTTCTCAACATGTAAGACATCTTATGTTCATTCGGATCCAGTCTACAATGCATTGGTGATGATAGATATGGTTACATTGCAGCTCATTTATAATGTCGTCAGTTAAAATCTTGTCCATGCATACAATGCAGACTTCATTTACTTCTGTTTGTGCGAATGCTCTTTTCTCAGATTGGAGGTTTGATGTAGCTATGTCAACATCCATTCTGTGAACTGAATGGGGATTGAAATCTGTTAAATTTAGTATGATGTGGACATTTTGGTCTTCATAATTGGTGAGAGGTGATAGTTTGGTGTATCCGTATGTGGATGAAGATTCTGTGATTCTTGTAGCGGAGTAAATGCTTATGTCATGGTACATGAGCACAGATTGCATGATGTCAATTGTTTCATCTGAAAGATATCGATAATTGGTAGTTGGGAATTCAAGTGCAATCGATATGTCGATTTGGTTTCTATTCCACCAATTTATATTGATGGTGAGATCTCTTTTTGGGTGTGAAACTGCTGAAGATGTTTTGAAGTCGAAAAGAGAAAAATCTTGGTCGGGTTCCATGTCTAATTGATTTGAGGTGAAGTTGTTTACGTCCTACCATGATGTATTTATGCTGTTGAAGGATTGGAGTTACATGTTGAATAGTGTAATTAATTTCGAAACATAGTAGTTATTATTATGTGGAGTAGTTTTTTCATGTGAAGCGTTAGTAGTAATAATTATTAATTGTATTGGTGAAAAAGCGTTTGTTTATGTATGTACTTATTGCATGGGTTTGTGTTAGTAATTGGAATAAGAAAGTAAGAGTTATGCGTAAACAAACGCTCTGACAAATTGTTAAATAGGTCAAATTTATATAGTAAAAATACGCAAGAGTTATGCGTAAAACTTCTCAACTGAAGCCTTTTAAATTGTTTGGAACACCTATTTCTAGTTTTGGTTGATACATGGGTTTATAACTTCTGTGCCAAGAAAATATTTTCTAGAAAGTGGTGTAATAATAAATATTTATATCTATTATATCATTCTGTGTTTCTCTCCCTCTCAAGCATACCATCTCACTCGCTAGGTAGACAAGTCCACGTAGGATAACTTGTGATTTGGGCCAGTAATGTTCGTGTTTCTATTTTCCTTATCTTGGGTTTCTATTGTTTTGGCCCGCTTATGTTTCTGTTGTAAACCTAAAGTGCCGTTTCTTCGCCGGTGACGCTTAGTTTTTCTGCTTCATCTCAAAACTCAAACAGCCGGTGTAAATGATTCGCTCCCACTATGTTGACATCAATGTTCTTTCTATGATAAATACATGTAAGTCCTCTCCTTCAGCTTCTTTTCTTCAATCATTTACTTTCAGCATGGCTTGTTCTAGGGTTTTTTTCTCCGAGTTGAAGATCAGCAGGTGCTCCTCCGTTGTCCAGGCACGAGTCCTCCGGTTCTGGGAGGCCCGAAGTATCAGGCGTGGGGTCGAAATGAATTTTATTGATATGCTTCGATGGGAATGTAAGATTCATATCTAGGTTTGCGTTTATTTGTTTCATTTTTTTGCTCTTTATGTTTTTAGTCTGTTTTTCTAAAAAAAGAAAGATTAGGAACTGATGGTTATTTCTCACAGACAAGGGTTCTTATGTGTCTGAAGTTGAATATATTTTTTTAAACAACACTGTAGTCTGATCCATATCTCATTGTCTATTAGTTCTTACAAGATAATTTTGGTTCACTTTGATGTAAAATTAAAACCTTGGCTCTGTTTGTTTTAAAAGAACAATAAGTATGAATCTGACATTAAAAAAAAAAGAAACCGAATCATTTTGGACTGTTTAGGAGTTAAAAAAAAAACAATCTGAATCTATTTTTTTTTTAAGGTGCCCAATTAATTTCTAGCTTTATATTGGTTCTTAGATGTATGTCATCTTGGACTGTTTAGGATTTTTAAAGAAAATAATCTGAATCTGATTTTTTTTTTTTTTTAAAGGTGTCAATTCATTTGTAGTTCTCGATTGATTCTTAGGTGTATGTCAATTTGGATTGTTTAGGAGTTTTAAAGAAAACAATCTGAATCTATTTTAGGTTGAAGGTTGTGCTTGAAGGTTGGAGCTCCCGTCATGATACTGCACAATCTTAATCAGGATTTTGGTTTATGCAATGGAACAAGGATGATGGTCAGTAGACTTGGTGACAAAATAGCTGAAGTGTAGATCATGACCAGAATATAGATTGGGGAAAAGATTTTGATCCCTAGATTTCAGCTTACCCCACTTGACACCATTCATCATTTCACCTTTCGTAGACGCCAGTATCCAATACGACTGTGCTATGCTATGATGATAAATAAGAGTCAAGGCCAGAGTTTGAAACAAGTTGCTCTATATCTTCCTCGGTCTGTGTTTACACACAGGCAGTTGTATGTTGCCATGTCTCGAGTCATAACTCCAGAAGGTCTAAAGATATTAGACGAAACCTCCGATAAAGACAGTGAGGACGGAGTAACAAATATCTTTTGACATTCTGGAGATGTGAATCGAGACATGGCAACATACAACTGCCCGTGTGTAAAGACAGGCCAAAGAAGATATAGAGCAACTTGTTTCAAACTCTGGCCTTGACTTTTATTTAACGTCATAGCATAGCACAGTCGTATTGGATATTGGCGTCTACGAAAGGTGAAAGGATGAATGGTGTCAAGTGGGGTAAGCTGAAATCTAGGGATCAAAATCTTTTCCCCAATCTCTATTCTGGTCATGATCTCCACTTCAGCTATTCTGTCACCAAGTCTACTGACCATCATCCTTGTTCCATTGCATACACCAAAATCCTGATTAAGATTGTGCAGCATCATGACGGGAGCTCCAACCTTCAAGCACAACCTTCAACCAAAAACAGATTCATATTGTTTTCTTTAAAACTCCTAAACAGTCAAAATTGACATACATCTAAGAATCAATAGAGAGTTACAAATGAATTGACACCTTTAAAAAAAAAATAAAAAATCAGATTCAGATTAATTTCTTTAAAAATCCTAAACAGTTCAAGATGACATACATCTAAGAACCAATATAAAGCTAGAAATTAATTGGGCACCTTTAAAAAAAACAGATTCATATTTTTTTTTTAACTCATAAACAGTCCAAAATGATTTGGTTTCTTTTTTTTTTAAATGTCAGATTCATACTTATTGTTCTTTTAAAACAAACAGAGCCAAGGTTTTAATTTTACATCAAAGTGAACCAAAATTATCTTGTAAGAACTAATAGACAATGAGATATGGATCAGACTACACTGTTGCTTAAAAAAATATATTCAAATTCAGACACATAAGAACCCTTGTCTGTGAGAAATAACCATTAGTTTCTAATCTTTCTTTTTAGACAACAAACTCAAAACATAAAGAGCAAAAAATGAAACAAATAAACGTAAACCCAGATATAAATCTTACATTCCCATCGATGAATAGCAAATCAATAAAATTCGGGCCTAATACTTCGGGCCTCCCAGAACCGGCGGACTCGTGCCTAGACAACGGAGGAGCACCTGCCGATCTTCAAGTCGGAGAAAAAAACCCTAGAATAAGTCATTCTGAAAACAAATGATTGAATAAAAGAAGCTGAAGGAAAGGACTTACATGGATCTATCAGAGAAAGAACATTGATGTCAACATAGTGGGAGCGAATCATTTATGCCGGCCGTTTGAGTTTTGAGATGAAGCTGACAAAACATGCATCATCGGAGAAGAAACAACACTTTAGGTTTACAACAGAAACATAAGCGGGCCAACAATAGAAACTCAAGATAAGGAAAATAGAAACACAAACATTACTGGCCCAAATCATAAGCGGGCCAACAATAGAAAATCAAGATAAGGAAAATAGAAACACAAACATTACTGGTCCAAATCACAAGCTGTCCTACGTGGACTTGTCTAGCTGGCGGGTGAGGTGGCATGCTTGAGAGAGAGAGAAACAGAATTATATAATAGATATTAAAACAGA